TCTGCAATTTTCTGGAAGAGTTTGAGTAGGATAGGTGTTAGCTCTTCTCTAAATTTTTGGTAGAATTCAGCTGTGAAGCTGTCTGGTCCTGGGCTTTTGTTTGCTGGGAGATTTCTGATTACAGTTTCAATTTCTGTGCTTATGATGGGTCTGTTAAGATTTTCCATTTCTTCCTGGTTCAGTTTTGGAAAGTTGTACTTTTCTAAGAATTTGTCCATTTCTTCCAAGTTGTCCATTTTATTGGCATATAGTTGCTGATAATAGTCTCTTATGATCTTTTGTATTTCTGTGATGTCTGTTGTGATCTCTTCATTTTCATTTCTAATTTTGTTGATTTTATTTTTCTCCCTTTGTTTCCTGATGAGTCTGGCTAATGGTTTGTCAATTTTATTTAACTTCTCAAAGAACCAGCTTTTGGCTTTGTTGATTTTGCTATGGTCTCTTTTGTTTCTTTTGCATTTATTTCTGCCCTAATTTTTAAGATTTCTTTCCTTCTACTAATCCTGGGGTTCTTCATTTCTTCCTTCCCACAAACTTTAAATGATACAATAGACCAGTTAGATCTAATTGATATCTATAGGACATTTCACTCCAAAACAATGAATTTCACTTTTTTCTTAAGCACACATAGAACCTTCTCCAGGATAGATCACATCCTGGGCCATAAATCTAGCCTTGGTAAATTAAAAAAAATTGAAATCATTCCAAGCATCTTTTCTGACCACAATGCACTAAGATTAGATGTCAATTACAGGAGAAAAACTATTAAAAATTCTCTGCCCATTTTTAAATTGTGTTGTTTTGTTCTGGCTTTGTTATTGAGTTGTATGAGTTTCTTATATTTTTGGATATTTACCTCTTATTGGATATATGGTTTTCAAATATTTTCCCTCATTCTGTAGGATGACTTTTAATTTTGTTCACTGAGTCTTCTGCCGTGTAGAAGTTTTTAGTTTAATGTTTCATTTTATCTTTGGTTTTGCATCTCTTTCTTTTGATATCATATCCCAAAAAATCATTGCCAAACCAATATCAAGGAACTTGTTTAGTTTTGCTTTTGCATTTGTTTATTTTGGTATCATAGTCTAAAAATTGTTGCCAAAAACAATGTCAGGTAGCTTTTCTGCTATATTTTCATCCAGGCATTTTAGTTTCAGGTCTTATATTTAAGTTTTTGATCCATTTCAAATTAATTTTTGTGAATGGGGTAAGACAGTCAATTTCAGTCTTTTGTATGTAAATATCTAGTTTTCTTATCATTATCATCATCTTTACTGAAGAGACTATCCTTTTCCCTTTGAGTATTCTTGGCTTCCTTGTCAAACATTAGTTGAATTTATTTCTGAGTTCTCAATTCTATTCCATTGATCTATGTGTCTGTTTTTATACCAGTGTCATACTGCTTTGATTACTATACCTTTATAGCAGTGGTTCTGATTTTCTTGTTCTACAATATATTTGAAAGATATAAAACATTCCCACAAGTGGCTCCTAATATCTAAGGGAACTATTACTTCATTACACTATTAATAATTATGTCAGGACAACAGGCATAAATCAGTATATTTCCAGACAAACTGGGACATAATAGGTGCCCAAATTACAGCAGTGATTTTCAACTGGGGAGATGGCTTCATCTCCTAAAAGGGTGTAGGGGTATGTCAGAATAGCTAGGGGTATGAGTATCCATCAGGGTCTAAGTAGAAAAACATAAAACACACCAGCTATTTTTAAGAGAGAGAATTTAACATAAAGCATCACTAACCTGTGATTGAGAGGACTGAAAAGACAAAGAGGGAACACAGAAGTTTTCTGGTGGTAGAACTGCAAGAAGTAACTGCCACTCCTAGGAGAGAAATGATTGGGAGATTATTTGAATCTCTGTGCTCCAAAGAGAGGCTCTCAAGGAGCTAAACCTCAGATCCCTGAGGATGAGGCACTGGCTGGAAGGTGCCAGTGCCCTTGGAGCTTGGAGGAAGTCCCTGCAGAACGGAGACTCAGACCTCTAGTGAGGAGGTGTCAGCAGGCTGGTGTTGGTATCTCTGAAGAGGCATAATGATGCCAGTGCGGGGAGTAGAGGAAAGACCTGCAACCCGCAGCCAAGTTGTTGTTTCTCAGTGGCTCAGTCTTGTCCAACTTTTTGCGACCCCATGGATTGCTGCGTGCCAGGTTTCCCTGTCCTTCACCATCTCCCAGGGTTTGCTCACACTCATGTCCATTGAGTTGGTGATGTCATCCAACCATCTCATCCTCTGTCATCCCCTTCTCCGCCTGCCTTCACCAGCATCAGGGTCTTTTCAAATGAGTCAGTTCTTNTCCCCATAACACAAAGACACAAAATCCTAACACTCTTTGATCCATCCCTGGTAACAATCATAGTATCTTTCTCTCATTCTCTCCCCATAACACAAAGACACAAAATCCTAACACTCTTTGATCCATCCCTGGTAACAATCATAGTATCTTTCTCTCATTCTCTCCCCATAACACAAAGACACAAAATCCTAACACTCTTTGATCCATCCCTGGTAACAATCATAGTATCTTTCTCTCATTCTCTCCCCATAACACAAAGACACAAAATCCTAACACTCTTTGATCCATCCCTGGTAACAATCATAGTATCTTTCTCTCATTCTCTCCCCATAACACAAAGACACAAAATCCTAACACTCTTTGATCCATCCCTGGTAACAATCATAGTATCTTTCTCTCATTCTCTCCCCATAACACAAAGACACAAAATCCTAACACTCTTTGATCCATCCCTGGTAACAATCATAGTATCTTTCTCTCATTCTCTCCCCATAACACAAAGACACAAAATCCTAACACTCTTTGATCCATCCCTGGTAACAATCATAGTATCTTTCTCTCATTCTCTCCCCATAACACAAAGACACAAAATCCTAACACTCTTTGATCCATCCCTGGTAACAATCATAGTATCTTTCTCTCATTCTCTCCCCGTAACACAAAGACACAAAATCCTAACACTCTTTGATCCATCCCTGGTAACAATCACAGTATCTTCTTCTGGAAGACAGGTGTGCGTGTGTGTCGCTGCTAGTCTCTCAGTCCTGTCTGACTCTTTGTGACCCCATGGACTGCTGCCCGCCAGGTTCCTCTGTCCATGTGATTTTTCAGGCAACAATAGTGAAGTGGGTTGCCATTCCCTTCTCCACGGGATCTTCCCCACCCAGGGATTGAACCCACGTCTTCCATATTGCAGGCAGATTCTTTACCATCTAAGCCACCAGGAAAGATAGACATATAGCTGGTTAAAATAAAACCCACTCTGATATCCTTATCCTATCCTATACATCATTAAAGTGAGGGCTCAACACATTTTTTGTTTCCCAAGAGAGGGAAAGATTCCATTTTGAGAGAGCGTCTCTGAAACATAGTTTCATTGAGCTTCAGGTGTTAGTTTGCAGTGATTACTAGTCCATTCGGTAACACTGTGTTTACCAAACTTCTGTTTATCCAAATTAGAGATCCTATCTAAGACAACATTCTCTCCTACACCAGAAGTTATCCAATTGGAATAGAGATTCCAATAGCTCTGGAGCTAACATCTGACCCCATGGAGGTCTTTGAAGTAGCTAGTGCAGGAAATGCAAGAGTCAAAGGAACTCATTCCTGGTCTTTGTTCTGCACCCATTCTCCAAACTGCTTCTCATACCTGATCCAACACTTGACATCCTTGAAAACTGCCCTGTACTCACTTTCACTTCATCTACTCAGCTGCATTCTGAATCATTTTTTCATGATGCATTCTGAATCATTTTTCCAATCATGCTTGGCACCAGCACCAGCCTGAGCATGCTTTCACAAATGACATGGTTCTTTTTCTGTCTGTGTAACCTCTCAAGTACAAGTTCCGCTTGCTGAGCTCAGCCCAGGATACATCCAGTTGATTAAGCAGGACCGGGCACTGACAAGGTCCCTGTAATTGTACGATTACACTTCTGCTCACTCACTTTCCTTATTTGTATTTTCAAGGCAGACTCTCCACAAATGCTCATTTCTACTTTCCGCTGTGGCTGTGGTTTGCAGTGATTCACCTGAGTCAGTCGACTCTCTTGTGAACTCTGCTCTTATCGCATTAACTTGTTCTGCAAACCTGGCCAGTTTGGCTATAATCTTATTAGCCTTTGGCCTGCTGGTGTTAGGCTTGTTCATTTCAGGTCAGTGCACTCAATCTGCAACTATAATTTGATAATCCCAAGTGACAAAAAGCTAATAGCTACATTGTTCCAAGCCTAATGAGATTTCATAGAGCATACTCCTTCCCACACCTTGAGCCAAATGACCAAATTTCAGTCTGTGAGCTTTTCTTCTGGAGGTTTAATATCCTGGATCTGTAAAGGACCTGGATTGGAGAGAACAGATGGCCTTATTTTCAAGGCAGCAGGTGCTTCTTTCCAGTTCTTCAAAGTCAAAATTTGGCAAAGGGTTGGCAAAGGGTTAACTGACTGTTGTAATCTTTGTCAATATCACATATTTATCAGGCATTTATAATAAGAATAAATTCTTTCCTTTGAAAATTTGGTTCCCAACTAGATGCATAAGAAATACACCACTTTACATGTTTTTCCAGTATAGTAAACTGTGTCTGTATTTGGCATTCTTTTGAGTCTTTACCCTGAAAAATGCCATAGCTACTTTCAGAGCTTGAAGTCCCAGGATCTGTTCTGGATCACTACTCAATTTGTATTACTAAGCACTGTTTTTTCTTGTAGGTCACAGCCCTAAGAAGAGTTGTGTGAATTGACTTGAAAGATCCTGATCAACTGATCTCCAAATCTAATTTCATACTGCTGAATGGAACATTAGGGCTATTGCTATGGATTAGTGCTTCTTGAATTTTTCATTTGGCCATGAATTAGCTGGAAATCTTGTTGAAATGTGGATTCTGATTCAGTAAATTTGGCAGGGGTGGAGGCTGAGTTTTTGCATTTTAAAATAAATTCTGGGCTACCAGAACTATTTTAAATAGCATGGTTCTAGACTGTGTGATAAGTGGCTTCTCTTCACTTTTCAGCATACTCGGGGTAGATGTTGTGACACTTTCAAAAGCAGGTTTCCAGAAAAGCTACATGTAAAATAATGAAATTAGAACATTCTCTAACACCACACACAAAAATCCCCCTCAAAATACATTAAAGACTTAAATGTAAAAATGGATACTGTAAAACTCCTAGAGGAAAAATAGACAAACCACTCTTTGACATAAAACACAGCGGTATATTTTTGGATCCATATCCTAGAGAAATGCAAATAAAAATGAAAGTAAAGAAATGAAATCTAATTAAACTTAAAATCTTTTACACAGCAAAAGAAACCATAAACAAAACAAAAAGACAACTTACAGAAATGGAAGAAAATATTTGCAAACAACTGGCAAGAGATNTTTACAAATGAGTCAGTTCTTCACATCAGGTGGCCAAATTACTGGAGCTTCAGCTTCAGCATGAGTCCTTCCAATGAGTATTCAGGGTTGATTTCCTTTAGGATGGACTGGTTTGATCTCCTTGCTGTCAAGTGACTCTCAAGAGTCTTCTCCAACACCACCATTCAAAACCATCAATTCTTTAGCACTCAGTCTTCTTTATGACCCAACTCTCACATCTGTACATGATTACTAGAAAAACACTTCCTGGTGGCTCAGATGGTAAAGAATTTGCCTGCAGTGCGGGAGACCCAGGTTTGATCCCTGGATCAGGAAGATCTCTTGGAGAAGAGAATGACTATCCACTTTGATATTCTTGCCTGGAGAATTCCATGGACAGGGGCCATACAGTCTGTGAGGTTGCAAATAATCAGATGTGACTGAGTGACTAACACTTTCACACTTTTGCTAATTGTTAGAGAAATACAACTCAAAACTGCAAACTAGAGTGAAGTGTCACCTCACACCAGTTAGGATGGCCATCATCAAAGTCTACAAATAAATCCTAGAGAGCGTGTGGAGCATAAGGAACCCCCCTGCACTGTTGGTGAGGTTTAAACTGCTGTGGTCACTGTGGAGAACAGTATGCCCAATGTGCTCAGTCGTGTCCAGCTCTTTGCGACCTCATGGACTACAGTCTGCCAGGCTCCTGTGTCTATAGGGTTTTCCTGGCAAGAGTACTGGAGTGGGCTGCCATTCCCTTCTCCAGGGGATCTTCCTGGCCCAGGGATGAAACCCACATCTCCTGTGTCTCCTGCAGTGGCAGGTGAATTCTTTACCACGGAACCACCTGGGAAGCCATGGAGAATGGTATGGTAGTTCCTTAAAAACTAAAAACAGAGCTCCTTTGTGATCTTGCAGTGCTACTCTTGGGCATATATCCAGAGAAAACTATAATCTGGAAAGATACATGCACCCCAGTGTTCATTGCAGCACTGTTTTCAATAGCCAAGACATGGAAGAAACCTAAATGTCCAATTACTGATGAATGGATAAAGAAGATGTGCTCTATACATATACAGTGGAATATTACTCAATCATAAAAAGAATAAAATAATGCCATTTGCAGCAACATGAATAAATCTAGGGGTAGGGAAGGGACAGAGGAAAGAATTGATTGAGAGCCTGTTTAAGAAACAGACCATTGGATCCCCTCCCAAATACGCTGTATAGCAACTATCCCTCTGACACCTGGGAGGAAGTGGTGTAGTCAGTATAAAGATACAACGAAGAGTATCTAGATGAGAATGGGGTTGGGCATTTGGCAGAGTTGAGGGCATGGATATTGTCCTGAAAAATGGGATGGAATGAAATGTCAAAAATGAGCACTGAAACCATGGGCCCAGCTTTCTTCCTGCAATTGGCAACCAAAATGGTGGCAGCCAGAGATACTCTCCAGGTGAGAGACTGGAGAACCTTCTCTAGGGAATATGACAAATCCGAGACAGAAGGGGAAAAAACCAGCCTAGGACACTGATATCAGGTATTCACTGAAAGAATCAGTCAGAGCAAAATAGCGACATGCCCCACCAATTTGCAGTTCTTTAGTTCCCCACTCAAATGTGAGCAAATAGCTAAGGATCAACAGACTGTAGAAGCAAACACTAAGTATGAAAGGTAAAGACAAAAATGAGCTGAGAGAATAAAGCCACCTAAAGGAAGCAGAAAATGCAAATGGGAAAACGAACATAAAACATTCTCAGCATCTTCACAGAGATAAGAGAAGCACTGCATGCATGAAAAAAGAAGAGGATGCTATTAAAACAGGGGTGATCGGAGAACAAAAAAGAGCTATTGGAAATTATAATAGCAAAAATGAAAACTCAGGGGTTGGGCTAAGGCAAAGAAATGGAATGCAGAAAAGAAAACCATAGAAATGTAACTTCCAAATACTAGAAATTCTAGAAAGAAGGCACACAAATAGTGATGTATAAAATTTTCAAGGAAAAATGTAGTAAGATTTCTGGAAATAAAGGACATGAATTTCCAGATTGATGGGGAGCACCAAGTACCGTGGGTGAAAGCAGACCCTGGCTCTGGCCCTGGGACATGTTAGAGTGAAATCAGAAACAGTGAGGATGAGGAGAAGATCCTACAGACTTCCAGAGAGGGAAACATGATTCTTGTAAAGGTTCAGGAGTCAGAGTGGCATCAGGTTCCTTTATAGTAATGATAGAAGCTATAAGAGAAAGGAGTTATGCCTTAAAATTTCAGAAAGAAAGGAATTTCCATTCTGGGGTTCTATATCCAGCCAGTATTAATTAAAGATGAACAGGAAGTAAAGGTATTTTCAGGCATGAAAAAACTCTCAAAAGTACTATCTCCCATAGACCCTTTGTTAGAAAGATACTCTAAAATGAGAGAATGAATCAAAAAAAGAGGAAGGCATAAAGATCCAGGCAACAGTGGGTCCAACATGGAAAAAAGGCAAAGAAGATCCTAGGATGTCCGTGAAGAGGAATCCCAAGGTGTGCAGCAGGCCTCGAGAAGTGAGCCCAGATTGGAGCAAGCCCAGAGGCTCCAGAAGATGAAATTAGAGAATATCTAAGACATTTGAATGTACTGAGAAGTGGTTTATAAAATGATGGGGTAGGGAGGATGAAGGGAAGAAGGTCAATTTAGTGGTAAAACATCAAAAACTAAGCCAATAAAGGAAATTATTAACTCTAGAGAAAATAAAATGTTGTTCACAGAATCAAAAATATTTACCAAGTTAGCATAATGCCAACACTGAACATCAATCTGGCCAAATTTCTGCAAGGATGGGGGTGATTGGAATGTCCCTGGCAATGGGATAACAGTGGTGAAACACGTTAGTCTCATTACCCCACAGAGAAATCAATGGGAGAGTCAAATATAAAAAACAAACAACATAAGCATGTTATTTAGATATGTAGAAGTAAATACTACAATAACTGACTAAAAGGATTTAAAGAGTGTCTTCATTTGCTCTTCGTAGAACTATTTGACTATCTGTGCCCATAAAATTTTTGTAAAATTACCAATTTTGTAAAAATAAAACCCACATATTAGAAACGAATGAGATAAGGAGAAGGGAACTCTTTCCTATAAGCAGTCATCTGTTGTAGTCTACAGCAGTGGTTTTGGAAAATAGCAAAAGGATAAGGAAGGACATAAAAAAGCACAAGGATCTCACTATGCAAAGAGAATTGCTGTTAGAATTTCAGCTAAGGTTCCGTGTATTTCCTATAAGCAGAGCATTTAACCTAGCACATTTCTGTTTCACTCCAAGATTCAACTGAATGGAACAAGCATGTGCATGCCAGGTACTGTGTTAGGTGCTAAGAAGATTGAGACAGACACGTAGCCCCGTCCTCTAGTTCTGTTACAGGTTAGACCTACTCTAACAGAGGTAAAAGGAATATGGAGTTTTCATTACCTGGAGAAGTCCCCTGCTTCCACTTCTTATTAACAAACCAACCCTGAACTTACTAAACGTAATCTCTGTAGCTGCAAAAGTTATAAAAGGAGAAGAAACTCTGCCAAGGCCAGTAATAAAATGAAGCACACTACAGGCTAATCAGGAATTAACCAAATTTAATTCCTATATACTCACTGCATGCTCAGTTGTATCTGACTCTCTGTGACCCTGTGTACTGTAGCCCATCAGGCTTCTCTGTCCATTTCTTCTCTGGATTTCCCAGGCAAGGATGCTGGAGTGGGTTGCCATTTCCACCTCCAAGGGATCCTTCCAACCCAAGAATCGAACCTGCATCTCCTGCATTGGTAGGGGGATTCTTAGCACTGGGCTACCATGGAAGCCCTCTATACTCACTACCAGCACAAAATGTCAAGTATAGTAAGTGCTTGCAGCCCTTACTTTGGCCAATGTAACAGAGTAAACACTTACCTTCACTGTTTTGTCACTGGTAAAGCCTATTAACAATTCCTGCGAAAGTAAAAAAGAATCTGGGTAATAAAGTCTAACCTTTTCTTGTTTCTTTTCNTTAGCACTGATTGGTTTGATCTTGCAGTCCAAGGGACTCTCAAGAGTCTTCTCCAGCACCACAGTTTGAAGTGCTCAGCCTTCTTTATGGTCCAGCTCTCACATCCGTACATGACTACTGGCTGCTGCCGCTGCGTCCCTTCAGTCGTGTCCAACTCTGTGGGACCCCATAGACGGAAGCCAACCAGGCTCCCCCGTCCCTGGGATTCTCCAGGCAAGAACACTCCGTTGTCCAAGGGATTTTCCAGGCAAGAGTACCGGAGTGGGGTGCCATTGCCTTCTCCGACTGACTGCTGAGAACCCTATAAAGCTGTTTTGCTCATGGCCTATAGAGGAGAACTTCACCTTGCAATAAGGATGTACACCTGTCTGTTCCTGGTCAAAGATTTAAACTTTTCTTTGCTTCTGAACTGCACTGCCTCATTATATTGGTTCTAAAGGCACTGAGCAGAAGGACCTTTGTTGTGCCAACGGAAGGTCAGTTAACAGCTTTGCTACAAAGCTGGGCAGGGCAGTGGCCTGGTGACCAGGCCTGGGGTTTATTTCTCCCAGCTTTATACTTTTAATAGGAAAATTAAA